ATTTGCACAAGAATCAGATTGGTAAAAGGGAAATTGTCCTAACCACTTGCTGGTAGAAGATGAGAACCACCACCCACTCATATCCTCTACACCGCCTGATGGATCATCAATCAAATCGTATGGAAATCGAATCAGTTTTCTCTAACAATTTCGCATGTGTGGGACATAACATAAGTTGTACGCAATTACGAAAGTTAAGATTCACTTGCTTCAGTTGCTTGGTCACACATCTCAATCTAACACCTATTATCTTTACAAAAGTTATTTTTTATTTAAAAACTAAGAGAAGGGAATTTTAATTTTTTAAAATCAAAATATTATCTTGAAAAATATATATTTTAAAAAATTAAAGTTTAGAGAACTACTTATATTGAAGAATAATATTTTAGAAAAATAAATTCATTATTAATATAATAATTTAGAAAAATAATTATATTAAGAACAAATTATTTTAAAAATATTATAACTTAAAAGATAATTATTTAGAAAATTAATCGTTTTAAAAACTAATTAATTCAAAATTTTAAAATGTGAAAATTTAATCTGTTAGAAAATGAACTATTTAGAGTGGTGATTATTTAGTTTTGTATTAAATTAAAAAATGTAATATTAAGTAAATGTAAATGTTAAAATGTAAAAAAAATCTATATTAAGAATTATTCTAAACTAATTTTCAATTTTTTATTTATACAATTTAATATTTATTAAATAACTATGATGATGATAATAATACGAATAAAAAATAGTAAGTAGAAATTTAAAAAAAAATTTGTTTATAAACTATTGATTTATTTACGAGGCTTAAGTCTCCAAAACTTCAATATCACACAATATCAAAATTATCAATTTTATGACTTAATGACAAGTGCACCAAATTGATTGTAAGAGAGTTTTCTACATAAATTTAACAAAATTGATGATTTGTTGTTTTAAATTTTTGTGTAAAAATACTGATACTAATATATATTATATAGTCTGAGTGGATGAAGTTTATAATTGAATTATCTTTTAATTTATATTAATTTTTTTTTGTAAAATAAATAAATAAATTGTAATTAAGTTAAAAATGATTTATTAATAAAATAAATTGTCTTTAACTTGAATCAAATTAAGGGTTTTTCAATAAAAAAATATATTTAACTTATTTTTTTGCTGAAGATACGATAATAGTTCTTGTATATAAAATTCGTATCAAGTAAACGTTTATTTAAATATTATATGATAATGGACTTCGGAAGACTTTCTATTCATGACATTGAGAAACCCATTTTAGCGACAAAACGGGCCAACCGATTTGGGCCCATGAGCTTCTCCCATGCATTTTGCATTTATTTTTGAACCGATAAGAAATTTCCTTACAAAGAACTCTAAATTAAGAAAATAAAATTGTATAAAAAATTTTGGAAATAAAGTTACGAATAAATAAAAACACTAAAATTACATAGTTTGTAAAAGTTAGGATAAAAACTACATTGAAATTTAATTATAATTATATAAGAGTGCAAATTATTTTACATTATCATTGTTAGGGGTAACAAGTAGCGGAAGACGTAGGAATGAAATAGAAAACGAGTCTCCATGAAAATTAAATTTCAAAAATCATTTGCAAGTTGGGTAATCCACGATATTAAATTGTATGGCATTTTTCAATTAAATTAAGAAAAATGATTTACTAATAATGGTGGAAGATTTGTTTATCGATTTGGGCCTTAGCATGAGGCATGCTTGCAGGACTGGCTGATAATGTTTATAGAAGATATAAGAAAGTGATGAGTTTGTCACCACTGCACACTACAAAAGCTTGCTGGTAGGAAATCTCAATCTTGCTATAAATTATTATTAGTATAAATACCAACTTCAAATTCATGCATCATCTTCATGTCATCCACAGCGTTGGAAGCATGCGAGACAACGGGAGTTGCTTAAACATTCTTATCACTTCGATCAATTCATGGTATTTTACGAACATAACGTGTCCATTCCATTTGGATTATGTGAATAAGCACAAGAAAAGCGTGAGAATTTGTGACGAAAGCTTCGGCTAATTCTTATTTTCATGTCACTCTCGTATTCTGTTTTCAGCTCATTCCGATACTAGCCCTTCCAAGTCCTCTATTTTCAAGCATACATCAATAATTACAGATAAATGATACGGTAGATCTTCTTTGATATTGATGTTGATTAGATATAAGATGAGTTTATAATATAAGAAAATGTAAATATTATTTTATAAGTTGATTTTATACAGTTTAGTTAAGTTTAAAATTTACTTTTTTAACTAATTTTTTTAATCTTATTTTAGAGTTTAATAATAATTTAATAATAATAGTTTATGCTGGAAAACAAATACGTATTAACAAAAATCAGAAAATTGAAGGGCACGAAAGCTGCTATTTTGATGTAAATGAAACTTAATCAGTATCATTAACAGTGTTCCTTGAAAGTTAACAATGTTACAAATAGAGAAATAATAAATTAATCCAGGTTAGGGATATTTGAATTGATTTGATATAAATGAGTAATATTTTATTTTTTAAATTAACTATGTAGGTAGATATGAGTAGTTATATATACTCATTCATTTTTTCAAGTCCATATATGTTCTCATATCTATTTTAAATTATTAAAAAAATTATTTTAACTTTTTTTAAACTTAATTTTGTAACTTAGGATTAAGATACACATTTTATCAATATTACTCTTTATAGTTAATGTTGAGAATTCAAGTGTGAGATTGCTCTCTTAATAAATTTATAAAAGGCTTTCAATATAAAGAAACCTTATATCTATGATTATTCACCTCTAAGTATTATCAGAGTAAATAATTTGTTTTAGCGACTTTCAGACAAATAGAATTTAGGTTAAAAATTTTATATATGAGGACTTTTCATATAAGAAGTCTTCATAACAAAGATTTGAGATAAGAGTGTTTCTTGTTATGATAAAACATGAGTATAAAAGGTTATTATTGAGGTACAGTGGAAAATGTTTCTACTTAAGAAGAAATGTACCAATATAAAAGTAACTCATTCTTGAAAGATGTAATAAGAGCCAAAAGGTGAGTTGGAAATATAAATACGAATATAAATCCCACATTAAATAAAAATTAAAAAATATAAAATATAAGACTCATAAACGCATAGTCTTTTTTTTTTTTAATTTGAAATGATGTTAATATCTTGTTTTAATTAGATAGAAGCTTTATTGGTAACGTCTCTTCCAACTAAATCTTCTCAAAAAGATCCATTTTTTTTATTCAAATGTTATGTTATTGAAACTCCTATTTAATATTATATTATTAATTTTTTTTATTAATATTTTATATTTGAATATTTTTACATATAATAATTATAATATTATGTTTTATTTGCTATGATTTTTATTTTTATTTATAAAAAATCATTTAATTAATATTTAAAATAATAAAAGTTTGCGTAAAAGAATATATATATATATATATATATTCCAATAAAGTGATTTTTACAAGTTATAGAATAACTAAAATAAGGTAGTACGTGTTGGTTCGCACAACTCATGAAATAGAAGCATGTAAAATGTCCAGTGAGATTCTTAAAGGTAGGCATTACTTGACAATATGAGGCCATTTTTGTCTTATTGGCTAATATATTTTATATTTATTTTTTATGGTGATGATGTAATTTTATTATTAAAGGTACATTACTTTACATGATCAAGTAAAGAACTTTTAGAAAAAAAAAAAGAGAGAAAGAGAACGAGGGAGATAAAGTGCTCTGTGACGAAATATATTTTGTTTATGTACCTCTTCTTCTTTTTTTCGTTCTTAAATAGATTTAAGAATGATTAAATGAATTTGAAAAGATTTAAAAATATATATTTTATTATTTATTTGAATAGAGTGAGAGTGAATTCATAAATAAAGCTAGGATTTTAATTCCATCCATATACTTTGTTTTTGTCTTAGCTCGTTTTTTATTCGATATTTCAATATTATATAAAATAATAGTTCTATACCAAATTATTGTTTTAAAAAAAACTTATATACCAAGCAAAATATAACTTACTCTAAACCCACTGGGCAAACACATGAATCTACAACCCAATTTTTGTTAGTCCTGAAGAAACAAGTGTATTTTGGATTTTGAATTTTTGGTAGTTTGAATTGAATGAGATGAATTTATTACAGGAGGTATAGTTGATATACTGTTAATACTTTCATTCACAATATTAAAATTTTAAAAATAAACTTCCTGTTTCTAAGATCAGCACGGTTGGTATATATTTCGTATTGTTAGAATTGACCGTTCGCATGTTTCTTGTGGGAACACTTTAAAATGAATTTACAACGTTATTCTGATATTTGTTCTGTCCATCACCGTTTCAATATTTCATTGTTTTCTTCTCATGACAGTAAACTAGTATTAAGCTGGGCGCGTGGTAAATATTTTTTTTTTTGTTAAACAACACTATAATATTTTTTTCATACAGTTATCTAATAATAATAGACTTATATAGATATACATTTATTGACTTTCACCATAATTATGTCGAAATTAAACGAATAAAAACTCTTTATTAATTGGTAATATAGATTTATACTCAATTTTCTAGTCAACCATAATTGAAATGTGTGTTTGGTACACACGTCTTCCGAAACAAAAACGGAACTTAGAAATAACACCACAACTTACGTGAAAATTCACGTAAAAAAAGTGTATGTAAACATGCTAACTTTGTTCTAAAACTGAACTGAAAATTCACGCGTTTTTGTAACGTTATTTTAGGGGGCAGATGTTCTTAATGTAATTAAAAGGAAAATGCATGTTCCAAAACGTTTTTACCCACCATGTTTACCTGTACAACGTTATGGGTCCCCTGAAAGAAAATCATTTGTTTGGAGGGAATGATAGACATTTTCTGTAGTTTTTTGTCTTTTAATAATCAGAATTCGTTTTGATAATTTTACGAAATAAATTCTATAAACATAGTCATATTCCCCTATAAATATCCCTATCCTCGTCCGCTCCGAATTTCATTTCAGAAACACCGGAGTAGAAGCATTTTCGTAACTTTTACATTTTATTATTTCGTTCTTTAATTTTTAGCGAAGATTCAATTCTTTTAACATGGAACAGCTCAAACTATCACTTCAATTTTTACTAACACTTCATCTATTAGCATCAGGTAAATAACTCACCAACAAATTCACAAGTAAATAGATGACGGAAACTATGAAATTAAAACAAATTTTGTTGCAGGTGCAGTATCAACAACAACGTTCACCGTCGTTAACAAATGCGACTACTCGGTGTGGCCAGGCATTCTCTCAAACGCAGGAATCGCGCCGCTTCCAACAACCGGTTTCCTTCTCCAAACCGGTGAGTCCAAAACCGTAACCGCTCCAACCTCTTGGGGTGGCCGTTTATGGGGCCGCACTCTCTGCACGCAAGACTCCGCCGGAAAATTCTTCTGCCTCACAGGCGACTGTAGCTCCGGCACAATCGAATGTGCGGGCAAAGGCGCCTTGCCGCCCGCGACCTTGGCCGAGTTCACTCTCGACGGCGACGGAGGCCTCGATTTCTTCGACGTGAGCCTCGTGGACGGTTACAACGTGCCGATGCTGGTGGCTCCCCGGGGTGGCTCCGGCGATAACTGCACAAGCACGGGGTGCGTTGGGGACCTCAACGGCGCGTGCCCTTCGGAGCTTAGGGTTACAAGCGTGGATGGTAAACAGAGCGTGGCGTGTAGGAGCGCGTGCGAGGCGTTCGGGTCGCCGCAGTATTGCTGCAAAGGCGCGTATGGGTCTCCCAACACTTGCAAGCCTACGGCATATTCGCGGATTTTCAAGAACGCTTGCCCACGCGCCTACAGCTACGCGTATGATGACAGGACCAGCACTTTTACATGTGGACACTCTGCGGATTACACCATCACCTTCTGCCCTTCCCCTAAAGATAACCCCAGGTAATTTTAGTTTTACTTTCACTTGCACTTGAACAGTTAAAAGGGTAATTGCGTCTTTCACATAAATATGAACGTTGGGTTGGGTGGTAACTGGGATTGTGTTTCGCCCATTTTCTGCTGTGTTTTTTATATTTTCATTTTGCGCTACAACTTTTCATTTGCATAATGACAGACTAGCGGCTTTTTGTATAGTGATGAAGAGAAGGACAACTAATAATGAACGACAAGCTATTTAAAATATATATATTAATTAATTAATAAGTCCTTTTATGTTGAATTCGAATTAAAATATATAAATAATGTGATTTAAAAATATGTTTGGGTTAACTGTGTGAAAATAAAAGAGCTAGTACAGAGTACATATAATTAGTTTAACTCAGGAAACTCTAAATTAAAAGATAATGAAATCTTACTCTTGTTGTCTACTTGAAGGTAACATTTTGTTGGAATAACACTTCGTTTGTCGGAAGTTGAAGTCGAAGTTGAGTTTTATAATTGAGTAGAAAATTAGTCTCAAACTATAACCATATTTCAGACAATCTACTCAGCACTAATTTGTTAGAGGGAATTACTAATAATAGACTTATCAAAATATTCAATTAGCATAATCAATAATTTTTTTGTTCAAACTTAAAACAGGAGAGTTTATCTCCCAAAAGAAAAATCAATGATTAACCTTTAGAGAAATTAAAATTCATTTAAGAATGTACTTTCTCCTAATCCTTTTTTCTATATTCCTTCCCTATAATTTTTTTCTCAACCTTTGATGGGTTATAAATCTTAATTCTATTAAAACAAGAGTGTTGGTTCTATTTTATAGTGTATATACCGATTAAAAATTACTTAAACAGTAAGAGCATTATTATTGGTAAAAGAGTAATTACAATCATTTTATTTTATTTTTCAAAAATATGATAAATAAAAAGGAATGGAGTGAGTAATGGATAATAGATCTTTAGATTTGATACTAAATGGTGGTACACAGATAGATGACAGGTTCTTAAATAAATCTCAGTACTGTTAGTATTTTGGTTTCATTCAATGAATATTTTGTGTTGTGGAAAAAAAGAATTCTTTTGAGATAAATGTTAACCATTATGAACTCTTCTAACTCTGTTTAATTTTTTAATGAATATCACCTGTCTTGATTTTTAATAAATAATTGTGAGGTACCTTTTAGTGTTTAAAATAATTAAACATCGAGAGGCAGGGGACAATACTTTGGTGGAAGTCGAATCTCAATGAGTTGAATTTAGCATGATATCATATAATTTAATGCACATGATGATCACTCATCTTTTGGCAAAACTCGCAAAATAAGGCAGCTTTGTCTGGTACTCAATTATTTTGGAATTACATGTTGATGAGTGTCTCGTTTTCATTTTTTATCTTCGAAACAGTGTTCACCAATTTATTTATCTCATAATCGTTATTCTGGATTTGCAGTCAGAAATCGTGGCAGGGGCAAAACCCGAAATCAGATAGCAGCAGTAGTTGTTCTTCTTCTTCTGAGTCGCCGCCAGTTAACAATGGCACAATGGTGTATATGGATGAAAGTGAATTTCCATGGTCAGTAGGTACCCGTGTGACTGTGAAGGAATCTCAAGCCATTGCTGGTTTTGTCAGTATCACCATTGCTCTTTGGCTCTTGTGCAACTTATAGTAACCACTTCCTCCTCCACCTTTTTTCTAAATATTACGCCCATCATCAACCCATGTTTCTATGCCTAGGAAAGTGGTCGGATCCTATCCATCACTTGTCTGGTTTAATATGTCCTCGTGGCCCACGTGAGTTGAGCAGGGCCCACAAGCAGCAACCATGATCACAACTCACAAGCAATCGGGTCATTTTAAATGCACCCCTCGATGGAACTCCACCACCTTCCAAGTTGTTTTTTTGTGCCAAAAAGAAGAATCCGATGTTGTAGCTATGGTTATTCCTGCTCAATGGTGAAGATAGATAAACAGGGAGTGGGGCATTTGAATGATCTTTTTCCTTGTAGTTTTCTTGTTTAGTTAAATAGGTATACTGCATAATTCTTTGCTATTTGGGCGATGCATTCATTTACTGCCATCTCTACTTTCACCATGCTACTAGCGTCACAGAATTGGTGATGTTTTTTGAAGCCTGTCACCATAACACATTCATCACTTTCAAGTACACCTTTCATTTTCGTCGTTGTTCCTCTCTCTTTCCTTATCAGATAATTTGACGTTTCATACCAAGTGTATGTTAAAGAAGTATATAAAACAAAAATAATACAAATTGTACCACGAGTTTGATTAAAATTGTCTGGCCTCAAATTATTCAAAGAAAACTAAGTGTGACGAATCTACTTTATTAAATATAATATATTGTCATATTAAAATTTATTAGGTGAAAATATTTAAAAATAAACAAATATTACTTGTAAGGCATGATCTGACCCACAATCTATTTATGGAGCAACCTTATTGAAATGTTTTGGTATTAGGTGTGTATACAAATAATCTTGAATCCATTGAGAAGAAAGTGGTGTGGTGGTGGCCATAGTTTGGTTTGGCATTCAGTGATGTAATCTAGCAAATCGTCTACAACCAAGCGTTTATCAATTTGATATCTCAAACAATTTGATTCTGTCATCGGATTTTTGGATCAGCAATTTACTCCTTGTGGTTGGTGCTTCTGCTATATCTTATCCCCTTTTTACATCTCAATTTCATAGGGGCTACCAAATGTTTTGTTTATTGTTCATAATTTACACCTACCATCAGTTGTGAGCATTGGGGGTTCACAATAAGGAAATTTAGCAACCAAGCATTGCATACTTTATATTATCCTTTATCGTTTTAGTAAACACCATTATACAAATTTGTTTCTGCCGTCTGCAGAATATACAAAAAATAAAATATAATAATAATAATATATAGGTAGACACTTTTTATATTTATTAATATAAAAAAACTAATATTTTCTCAAATCATACAAACTTCTCATTATTAGTTTGAGTATATCTTTTGAAACCGAAGTTAATTTTCTCGTTAGTTTTTTTTTTCAATGATTGTCTTGTCTTATTTATAAAAATATATATATATAGACATCTTTTATTAAATAAACACCCACCTGACAAATTTATTTTAATGACATAATCATACATGTGTCGATTAAAAAAAACTTAACAAATGGTTTCTTTTTTGTTATGGATTGTTAAAATATGAAGGCTATTTATTTATATAACTCTAATAAAAAATTTAAATAGATGGTTTGACTTTTGGCACACTCAATTAATTTAGCAGTTGAAATTGGCATATCATCCATCCAAAGGGATTATACAAATGGCCTTAATTGGGTTTTCTTGTTAAAATGGTCCATCCTATTGTTGGGGGCACTTCTCAACCACCGTGCATATAAAAGTGAGAAGAAAAAGGCTCAAATTCCAAAGTAAAATTGTTTGGGTTTTTCGATTGGAAAATTTTCTTTTAACAATTTTTCATAACTAGCATTTTAACAATTGTTTAAGTAGCAACATTTAAAATATATATTTTTAAATATTTAAAATAAATGAATACATTTTTGACACGTAGTTATTGTTAAAAAATTGTTAACTTTTAGTTGTTAAAATATCATCATCCAAATGTTCAACATTCGTAACGTAACCCACCCTATTCTTAATGATAATGCACTCGGATTTTGATTAAGGAATTAAATTAATTCAACTTAACTAAAGTTCGAAAAAAAAATATTATAATCCTTAAAAATCAACTTGAAGTTAAGATAAATTTTTAAAATTATTTTATTGTAATTCTTAACAATTACCTTTTTTTCAAAAAATTGCTAAACGTATTACCACATTTATGTCACTACTCCGAAGTTTGTTTTGACTTTTAAATTACATAATGTAAAAATCACAAATTGGAACGTTTGCTTTTATGTGAGTGTGCAAGAAGAAACATACGGAGGTCTATGGAGGTGCACAGTATCTCGTTTGGTGAAATTGGGCCAGGCCCATTTCTAGTACTTTTAATTCAGTTTCAACACGGGCCTAAATTATTGTACGGAACAGAGTAATGCTCCTTCCATCACTCCATCTTCTCCCTACATCTTCCCAATTTTTTTAAAATTCCAAATTTACCCTTTTTATTTTTACTAATTTTATTTTTTATTTTTTAAAATCCTAATCTTAATTCCCTCTAACTTTCACAATAGCAAGTCCCCACCCCCAGTATCACTTCCTCTCTCTCTTAATTTCCACTTCCATTAACACAACATTTTTCATTTCCTTTCAAATTACGTGAGATTCACCGAACACTCAATGATAAACTGAACTAACTATTTTTTCTTTTATTCACTTTTTATTTCGTACTCAACAAACATACTTCTCTTTAATTGCACCATTGTAAGCACGGATGTAATTTTAAGTATAGATTTTCAAGTTTGATTATTTAAAGACAATGAATTGAGGAATAAATTTTTAGCATATTATATTATGGAATCATGACACTTCAAAACTCATCAGAAGTTATAAATGTTTTCAATTTATATCATGCAAAATTTGATTTTTCTATCCAATTTTTGTGTTAATGGAAGTGAAAATTAAGAGAAAAAGAGAAAGTGATAGCAGGGGGTGGAAGTTTGCTGCTGAGAGTGAGAGGAAAAGTGAGAGTGAGAGGGGATTGAGATTACGATTTTAAAAAATAAAAAATAAAATTGATAAAAATAGAAAGTAAAAAGGATAAATATAGAATTTAGAAAAAATTGAGAAAATATATAGAGAAGATTGGGTGGTGGAGGGAGTATCTCTACGGAACAACGGTGGAAACATCGCCTTACAAATAAATGGGCCTAATTTCAAATGGTTGAATCCTACTCATACCTACAAAAGGAAAAAGTAAATGTAACTGCACTAACAGGAATTGGGTTTTGGACATCAGCGAAAAAAAGCTTGGTTTTATGTAAATTACAAAAATCAGCTTCAAAAACTATGATTTTAGATCAATTCACGCATTTTTTTTATTTTGTAATGAAAAAATATTATAAATTCAAAGATGATTTATAGTAAAAAAAATTAAATAAACGTTGAACTAATAAAAGCATAAAGTTCAGAAAAATAAAAAATAGAAGTTATAGAACACTAAAAAATTTAAATAAATGTTGAATTTATAAAAGCATAAAGTTCAGAAAATAAAACAAAACATAGAACTTATAGAAATAAAAAAAAAAAGCAAAAAATCAATTTTTGTCAGAAGTGGGATTTGAACCCACGCCCTCGTTAGAGGACCAGAACTTGAGTCTGGCGCCTTAGACCACTCGGCCATCCTGACTTACTTGTTGAACTTCGTTTCCACTCTGATATGATTAAATATGTCTCAATATTTTATTCATTGTATTTTAAAAACCATTCTGCCTCTTATTTCTTTTATTTGGTATATAATAGATATTTTAAATATGTTAAGAGTGAGTATTGTTTGAAAATAATTTTATATCACGTCCAGAATCTTTTATGAAAAAAAAAACTATTGGTTCAACCTTGTAGGATATAAAAGGAAGAAAAAGATAATTGATGTGTTTAATTATATAATCCGATGAAAAAATATAAGAAAAAGAAAAAAAAGTAAATATTTGTTAAATGGAGGTAGCATATTTAAGCAAATTAACAAATATATATTGTAAGTCTCTCTCTATGTATAGAGAGAGAGATTAATAATAATTGTACAGTTTTCTATTTCACCTTTTCTCCCTCCATCCCACACAATAAACATACATATATTATTATTGAAGAGCTAAATAAATTTGCAAGTGCTTTTTAATTGATCCCTGTAACAATTGGTAGCCCTATTTTTGTTTTTAGTTTTAACCGAGCTACATGATAGCATGCCTGCAAATGTTTGATTAAGATGATTACGATTAATTATTAACCTAACTGTAATAAAGCCACCTTGAGAACCAAATTTATATATTTATTAAATGTTAAGTATAAAATATAGAGATATAAATTCCAATATCAATCAATTAAAGGTATTGAAACCTATTCAACTCATTGTTTAAAGATTAGAAAACATATATATAATTAAAAGACTAACTGATGCGATGTTAAATAAAACAAAAATTAGAATTCTTCAAGCACTCTCACACGGGAAAAAAATGGAGTGATATAATTAATTAGATGGTTAGGTATCTTTCCATCAGTTGATTTTTAACAAAAACAATATTATTAAAATTAATTGGTAAATTAGGTAGCATTTATGTTTTGTGTTAGCTGGTTTATTGACATATATTTATTGATTTGAGTAAAAGTAACAGAACAGCATTGAATTAATTCGATTTCAGTGACTTTACATGTTATAGGAAGCAGTCATTCAGATACGTATTTTGTTAATTAATCACTTCATTTTAATTTGAGTACAATACAACATATATTTATTGATTTTAGTGAACTTAAATTCAATAGAATTTTTTCACTTTCTTGTTGGGCTTCAAGGTTACGGGCTTCAACTGTTCGAGCCCGCTATGTTGTATTTAGAATATGCCATCTACTTGCTGCACCTATATAAATTTCTCTCAGCACCCCCACATAGAAAACTCCCTATTTTGTTTTTCAATTGTATAATATGAAAAATGACTTTCAATGAAATTCAGAATCTTTCCAAATTATGGAATTGAAAATTAAAAAATGACTTATAAACTGTACAATTCAATTTTTATTTTAAAAAGAATGGCTTATAGATTTCACCATTAAAAAATTAACACTAACTTTCATATTGTGTAATATGGAAGTCAGATTTCGGATTATACAATTAAAAAAATAACTTTCAAATTATACACTTATTTTTTATTTCTAAATTATAGTACAAAGTTTTCTTTTAAGAGAAAAAATAGCTTTTGTATTTCGGAAAAAATAAAATAAAAATAAAATTTATATGAGTACATGAAAAAAGTTATCGAGATGCAGAAACAAACTTTCTTAGAACAAACAACAGTCTGCCTTTAAACCCAAACCACCTTAGTTAATTACGACGTTTAAAAACCATATCCTTTGACGAAACAGCTAATAAAAGTTTAACAACGTTAAAACATATAGACGTCAAGTTTTTAGTTATTATAGAATGAGTTTAGCGTAAATAATTGTGTAAAACTTATGTTGTGGACCCGTTCTAAATTATTAATACCTAAAATAGTTCACTACCACACTACTCATACGAGCGTTATTTCTTTAATTAACATTTAATTTTAGTTGTAATTTGTAGTTTTGGATGTTTCCATGACACGAACATTTTATAGTTCAATTTTTTTTTTCATGTAAAAAGTAAAGTTTTAATATAATCATACCAACATAAGTGTATATTTCGTTGATTTAGTTTAGAAATCGTACCAACATAAAATTAAAGGTCTATAATAAAACAAAAATAAGTATAATCAAACTCACATCCAACGGTATTTTTGTTTTTGTTTTTTCTACTAATAAAGAAGATTATTAATTTATAGTTTTGCAAATTATTACTACTTATATGAGAATTATCATCGACTAGGAAAGTATTTAAGATTCAGTGATGTAGAATTAATGAGACATTAATTTATTGAAAAAAATATATTGTTGATTCTTTTAAAAGAAAATAAGTATTTTGGTGCAAATAAAATAATCAGATCAGAAAAGAGTACTTTTCTAAAATTGAAATTAAAATGTTATTAGGCTAAATTAAAACTGGTTAGTTGTTTAAGTAAGGATAATGATATTTTGACAACATTTTTTTTATAATATTTTAACATCAACTATGTGTCATTATGTGATTGGTCCAAAATTACTCCATAACTAATAATAATAATAATCATAAATTGCAACATGGATTAATCACGTAATAACACAAAGATGATGTTAAAATATTGTAAAAAAAATGTTGTCAAATATCATTAAAATATATTTAGTTAAACCATAGTAAAAAGATAGATAATGATACTTTGACAACATTTTTTTGACAACATTTTAACACTGTCTACGTGTCATTCTGTGATTGGTCCAAAATTATTTCACAATCAATAATAATAATCATAAACACCAATATAAATCAATTACAGAATAACACGTAAACAGTGTTAAAATATTATAAAAAAATGTTGTAAAATATATCATCATCCAAAAAAAATTCATCGAAAAAAGTTGGAGTGGGGAACGTAGTTTCTGAGTATCGAAAAGTGGGGAAAAGGAGGTTGGAGAAGTGGTAAAGGGACGGATGAATGATTGGTGAGATTGATAGTGTGGTGTTGAGTGTCGCTAAAAAAGCCTTTAACAGCGGTCAAATGCTCTGAATTATGTCTAAAAAGGTAAAAAGAAAGTGTCCAAAACTTTTTACTGGCTTCTCAAGACGTTACAGATGCATGCCCCCTTATAGGGAAGTGAGAAATCTGATAAAACTGCAGTGTTCTCCCATGTCATGTACTCTCTTATTATACTTTCATGAACACAATGCATGCTACATTAATGGTCTGGAACCACCTAATTTATTTATTTATGAAAGGAAACAACAAACACCTAATTACCAATCTCACACTAATTTGTGTCTTAGATGATATCAAATAAATTTTAATGTTAACTCAATTTTTTATAAAAAAGTATTTGTATTAGTTTATATATTTTAAATTAATTTTATTTTTAATTGATATGAAACTTCTAATATATTTTTTCATATTAAATAATATATATATTAGACATGACATAAAATATTAATAAATAATTCAATAATACATGAAACAATATAAATTTAAGAGTGACTCTAATATCGTCATGTCAAAAAATCAATTTTAACTCTAACTTAATATTTATTTATATATTTTAATTTAATTTTATCTTTATTTAACATAAAACCTCCAAAAATTAAAATTAGGTTACCAATAATTCTTTGTCAAAAAAAATATAGACGAAGACTCATGGTTTATTTAAGTTTTAAAAAATTCTATCAAATAATAATAATATGGTTTAATAAACTTTTTTCAATATTTGTAAAACTTATTTAAGGTAATTTTTTTTAATTTTTTCTCTTTCATTTTAATTTCAATTTTATATAAAAAAATCATCGTAAATTTTTTTATTATATTTATGTTGATGTAATTGAGAAAGTATTATAAAATAGGTTTAAAAAAATAAAAAATCATTTTAAATGTTTAAAATGTCATATTACAATTTATATTTTCACGTTGTGTCATCTTAAAAATAATTAGCACAATATAAAATTTTATACGAACTGTTTTAAATAAATCATAGATATACCTACGTATGTAAAGTGATATTTCGTTGTCTTATAATTTTTTGATGTTTGAAACTATACTATTTAACATCATATTTGAATAAATTTTAACTTGACAAATATTTACATCAAATTTTCTTGATATGACATTATAAATTAAAAATTTCAAACGTTAAAGTTGAATATTTATTTATAAAAATTTCACCAATTATTTTTAAGTTGATTTTTTTCGTATGAGGTGAAAGTCTTTTTTGTATTAGTTATAATGTATATATTTTATGTTAAATTATTAATGGTATAATTTTAATAATTTTTTATGTAATAGATTTTCAGTTTCAATATATTTTAAGTTAAATTTCATCCAATCACAAAGAAACTTAAATTAAAATGGTAAGATTAAATAAAGAGACTTGATATCAAGGCACTCTTAAGAAACAAACAAACGCATGAAAATCCCAAATATTAATATATATTATTTATTTTTTAATTTTTCAATTAAAATACTACTATATACTGTTATATTATTAAAACAGGTGTAAGATGAGTGTAATATTAGTGGATAAGTGTCAAATACCTTTCCCTTAAATAAAAGGAGGAGAATCATGTTATTTATGACCGCTTACCTAGCTAGTTTAACCCACCTGAATATCGTGTGTACTTTTTCGTTTGTATTAAAGCCAGTACACACATGCCGAATTTATACTCACTCTCAATAAATTCCCGATATCAAGTAACTTCTTTTTATTTTTTTCACGGACTTCATTTTCTATTATTTTAATTACGTAATTTTCATAATGTTAACAGTAATAGGCATAACATTTATTTAATATATATTATAAAAGTAAAATAATTATAAAAAAAATGAATTTCTGTACTTGTAAAAGAATAATGAATTTTAGTATCATTTAATACGTATTGTAAGAAAAAAGAAAGAAATAAAAATAATAAATGATATCAAAATATAAAAAAATATGTATGAAAATACATAATTGAAGAAATTGAAAAGAAAACACGTGGAGGGTTATGATTGGACATGTAGGTATTTCATTGGGCATTCACAACCCAAATCTGCACCGCTGAAAAGAGAGAGTAGAGAAGGGACAGAAAGAGAGAGCGACTGAGGGACCCGTTTCGGCAACTAAAAGAGAGTAAGAGAGGTTTCAACGTTAGCACCGGCTTCTTCCCATCAAAGCCTGCACATTCTTCAACTCTTCTCTACATGGCCATATCTGATGTGGTGGCGCGGAACCTCACCACCATCTTCCTTGCGCTAATGGCCTCTTTTGAGGCCTACGGATTTATCTGCGGCCACAGCTTCAACGGCGCTTATCTCCTCGTCGTCTCCACCGCCGCTGTCATTCTCATCCTCCTCACCACGCTCACGTGGGACGTATCGCGCAAAGCAACCTGCGCCTTTCACCGCGACCACCGTGACAGCCGGGAGGTGTGCAAGGGAGGTATCTGCTGGCACGGCGTGGCGCCCCGATCGCCAGCTTCTCAGGTCCGTTTCAGACTCCCTCGCCAGCTTCCCTTAGCCCCTTTGTGATTGAAATCATGCTAATAACACCTTTTTATTTTTTTTTTACTTAATAAATATATAATCCTCCTCCTCCTCGTAATAATAATAATAATAATAATAATAATAATAATAATAATTTGGTAAAGATAGTTGGTGTGAAAAGGACTCTCTTAATTTATCCTCTTCTTCCTTTTCTCCCAGTTTGTAAGTTGTACAGAGTGTGTTTTTGTTCTAATTGGAACTCATTTTGTATATAACCTATATGCCTGTTATTCCTTGTAATGATAGTTTATATATATAAGAATTATTGAAGTTATTTTTGTGTTTGTAGTTGAAATGAAAGAGTATAGTGGCTTGGTTGGTCGATGTTAGGGATCTGGGATAATTTGTTTTGGGGTTAGTTAATATTAAATAGAGTGTGGACAACAATGTTTAGTGTGTCAGCTAAGTTAGGTGTGGAGAATTCATGAGACCTCAGAAATCATGGTTTGATGTGAGATAATTAGGATGACAAAAAAATCTGTGCCCGCAGATATCCGCAGATAAAATTTGCGACGGATAGTTGATACTCGCGGATATTTACTATCCGTAATCCGTGGGTAACGGATATTTTAATATCCACTTATAAACGGGTCGGGTGCGGGTATTATACTATCCGTACCCGCGAATACCCGCTACCCGCAAAAAAATAAAAATAAAAATTTAATTTATATTTTATTAAGTTAAATTTAATTAAAATTAACATTAATTTATATTTTACAAGATTAAATTTAATTAAAATTGAATTTAAGTTTAAATTTAATTTAATTTATATTATATTTTATATATTTTTTGTAGTTTTATTTAAATTTTATTTTAATAATTTATTAAAATATATTTTTTTAAAATATTTGCGGGTATTCGCAGATATCCACATATATCTGCGAGTTTTAAAATACCCGCAGATATTTTTTAAGCGCATATGCGTGCGGATAGCGGATCAAGTAGCGAGTGGATTTTTTTTTGTCAGGTCGAGTTGCGGGTAAGCACTGTCCGTGTCCGACCCAACCCGTTATCATCCTAGCTATAGCCTGTCCCACCTCTCTACATGCATACATCAATGAATTTATTTTAAACAGATCCAATTCCTATAAAATTGACATTTAAGAACACAGAAATGTGAATACAAAATAAGAATCAGTAAGTCCACAAATAACAAACATATATATGATTTTAATTTTTAAATAAACTATATACTTAATTTCATTTATATATGTTTCACTTTATTCATATCCCCTGCATATCTATTCTTTGTTTCTCTTTTCTCTTATTTTTCAAGATATATCAATTAGTGTTACCCGGTCCGGCAAATTTCTCCTTCAATTCTTATTTTGATTTACGTTAAATTCATCTAACGTGAATTAAATTAATATTTTTCATTATTAAATTACTTTTGGATTCTTTGTATTCTTGTTTTTTATAAATTCGTCTAAATATATTCTTATAAAGTTAAAAATAAATAACCATATTACTGGCGTGATTAAGAAGAACCATTTGGCAATAATAAGATGTAATTGTTTGGAAGTTCTCCATGAGGCAACTAAGGAAATTAGTATAATGGATGAAGAGGCACTAAAGCTTATTATTTACAGAATAGAAAGTAAAAGGAAGGAGGGAGACAAGTTGGTCTGATGCAGGAAAAAAAAATAGAAAATCAGGTCATCGATGAAGATTCTGAGCAGGGCAAAGATATGAAGAAGAGACGCATTAATTATCTTTGTAACTTGTTTCACTATGGGTTATTTTTTAATATTATTTATTTTAATAATAATAGTAATAGTAAGTAATTAAAAAGATTATATTATTAATAAACAAAACATGTTCCCTTTATTTTTCAACTAAATAATTTTTTATGAATTTTTTAATTAGTAATTTAGTTTTATATTTAGGCTTTTTTATCATTTTTATTTTTATATTTTTTTATTCAATTGAATTCATAATTTTTTAAAATATTCAATTGAGTCTTAAAATAAATGCAATGTTCTCTTTTCTGATAAATTCGCATTAATGAAGTTTGGAAGTATAATGCGAAAATATGTTATGAATGAAAATTTGGGTCATAGAAAAGTTTCAAAATAAAATGTAACATAAATTTTGACACAATGACAAACCAATATTTTGACATATGGTATTTTTAAATTGTCTATAATGACAATTTAACAAACTACATTGAATCTTTTATAAAAATGGAAATTTAATTGAATCAAAATTATATATAAGAATCAGATCAAAAATCAAAATATAAAAAGAAAATTATTAAGAATTTCTTTGAATCTTATAAAGGATGAAGACACTTATCTTAAGTCAAGATGAATAAAGTTAAATATTTTTAATTCTTCACCCTTGATATATTATAACATTCTGATTTTAAATTAAATGTTTTTACCATAATACATCATCATAGAGTAATCGTTACAAACGATCATACAAATAAATTTGTCTCTTTTAACTATTAGTTTTCTTTGACATGCTGCTTTATTATTATAATCATCATCACCATCATGATTATTATTAATTAATTATAAGAGAATACTGACGGAGGACATAAAGGTGAAACAAGTGGTTTGCATCATGAACGTAATCCTAAAAAAAATGTTCTCTCGTGCACTTTTGCTATAACGATTTTTCTGGAGCTCGGTGACATAAACTGAACCCAAGCTATTTCTTCCACCCTGTGTTCCAAATGCACAAAAAAGGTTAATCATTTAGGATGTGATAAATCAAAATTGGAATTCTTGTTTAGAAAAGTGTCCATATTTAATGCTGGGTTGTTTCAAAGATAGGTTGAGTCAAAGACAACTTAAATAAAGTATAAATATATCACTCACTAACCTACCAGTGAACCACTTGAGAAGGACAACATTTTAAATGCTAATTGTATATAATTTAAAAAACAAAAAAAAATAAAAATATTTTTCATGTCTCAAATTCAAGGTGTTCTTTTACAATTCTTATAAATTTAAAATGTATTTATTTTAATCGGTCTCATTCTGTTAAAAATTTCACCTGTTCCACAGCATAAAGTTTTGCTTGAATAAAGAGATTATAACTATTTCTTTTCAAATTAAAGAAGCTAAAGAATTTGAAGAACCAAAATCAAACCTAATTCAAATTTAAAAAAGTAGAATACCGGTTTAAAAGTCATTTTAAAGATTATTTTTTTCATTTAAATTTGGTGAGACCGGTATCGAAATTTGAAAATGCAAGAATAGGCTCACAATAACTGAACATGGATCAATTAACAGACACCAGCACCATTTGCCATCACCAACGTTGTGAATTGAGAAGGAGGGTGGGTTGAATCGATTCGGTCAAAATTCTAAAAGACTAAGCTAATCAATCTGTAATAAAAAAAAATGCCATTGAAGATCCGCGTAGACTTAAAAGTGAATCAATAAACCTGACTTGTCCTGTAGAAGAGGACTCACCACGAATCCTCGTATAATAATAAATTAGAAAATTTAACAGAACTAACAAAGTATTATGTAAACAGAAATATTGAACTGAGGCCATTCTAGGTCGGCGACTTCTACCTTCTTTTTGCAGGTTATTAACTTGATAATGAAAACTAACAAAATAGTGGTAACATAAGAAAGCACCACCCAGAAAATGAGACATGATACTCTGCCTATAAATTTCTTTGACATACGAAAAAAAAATACAGCTAAACGCACCAAGACTTTCTGTGCTTTGTAATGCTTTTCTATGAAGCTATAGTAAATGATAAACAACGGAAGAGAAAAAAAAAATAACAATATGAAAACCCAATTTCTGCCCCCTTTAACCATTAATAGTTTGAATCATACTACATCCATCTTCCCCCAGCATTTATTGAATTTGAGATCTTCAGTCGCTAAAGGTTGCCAGTGCTCTTGAGGATAATTTCGGGTAATAAAACATTAATTGGAAAGGTGTGTGTTTATGAACAATTCAGAAGAGGTGTAATAGGCTACTTCCATGGAGGTTGCGAATGTTTGTAGCTATATGGGTAGGGTTCCCAACTGCTATCTGGTTCCTTTCGTTTCCCACCAACCACCGAACTTGACGGCTGCGGCATGGTTCTTACTTGCTCCTCCACAGCCCTTCCCTGACCAGGAAAGGAAAACTGCCTGGCTGCAAATGTCTCTCTATTCCCACCCTCAATCATGAACCCAGAGTTCAGGTCAAAATTAGGACGTGAAGGCCCAAATCCATTCAAACCGAGTTGTGTACCCGTCACGTTCATAAAGAACGGTGGTGGCTGAGAGTAAGATGATGAAAGTATATTTAATGAAGGTCCACCCACTTGAGGGACAGCTGGAGCTCCTCTTGAGTCAACCATATATGGAACTGTGCCACCTGACCCGTACATGGCTGATGAAAAAGGCATTGTGGGTGCTGCTGATGCTGATGTCACTCCATTATACCCAAAAACAGATGACTGATTGAAGGAGGCAGCAGGAGCCATCCCTATAGTGCCACCGGTCCTTGACATCGTAAGATCTATTGCAGGTTCAACAGCATTTCCATTTGGCAAAAAGGATTGAGGAACACGTTCTTTTTTACCAACTTCTACCTTGGCGCCCAAAAGAGAGATAACAGGAGCATCTGGTGATTTAGAACAATCATATCCATTGGTTATATGAGAAGACTTACAGGACCCCAGGTCTACCAAATCAGTTTGAAGGCATGGCCTGTCATTCAAATCAATGTTTCTAACATAAGGCTGCATTGATGATGATGACGATGTAGGTGATGGGCTCCAATAGCCATTTCTTCCAAGAAAGAGTTGTCCCTCCATCCTGTGATCTGAAGGTTGGACGTGGCCGTCATCACCAGTACTGTTCAAATCAAATCCAAGCATGCTTGAACTTTTAGAACTAAATTCAACAGTGGATTGCTCAGAACGCCAGCCTGAAGATTCGGCAATAGGTTTTGCATTTCCTTCTTCACCCTCAGCAACGTTTAGATCAATATCAAGCCAGTCCTGCCTCGGCCTTGAAGTGTCA